CTGCCACGTGATTTGTTTATATCTTATGCACGGTAGGTACAAAATTAAAGGAATATTTGTATTACTATTATTTTTAAATTTCTGCTTTTAATCTTCACTAAGCATTTGACTTTTCAAATAATGTCCAAATTAAAATTATTAAGGGCTACATGTAAACATGATTCAGGCGGACACTATATGTTAAAGTCTCTGAGAGGCTGAAGGGCTAGTACAAGGTGCAATGATGGTGCACTGCTTAGATCATTGTGCTACTTTGATATTAGCTAGTGAATAGTATTGATTTGGACTTTTGCATTTGGATGAGTTGTTTGCTTTGGTTTGGTAGTGTTGAGCATTTTATGGTCATTTATTTGATAAATGGTAAAATGAATCTTCTATCAACAAGGATTTTGAATTTTGAATTTTTTGCATTGTATGTGTCTATGTTTCCCTGTTGATTGTTCAAGATACTTTGTGTTTCAGGTGCTATAAGCATGAATTTTTGAAAGATTTCTTTCTATCTACTGGACAACTTCATGTAAGTTTCAGCTGTTGGGTGCTTTTGTCGCTCTTACTGCTATGAAATCATTCTTAGAATTATAGTTGATGTTATTGATGTTATTATCATTATCGTTGTTTCTCTTCTTTCTGTTCTTATTATTGTTCGTTAGAAAAGATTCAACTGCCAAAAAGGATATTATTAGTTTGTTGTTGTATGTTATCTGGTAACGGAAAGGGTATTCAGCTATTAAATCATTGAATCTCAGAATCACTTGAGTTTCTGTGATTATAAGACTGTTGGGTTTGTTAGATCTTTCAGATGATATGAAATACAATGTTATTGATTGTCAAAGACTCTTGCAGATTATTTTTATCTGTTATCAGTTTTATGACTTTTAAGTTTTCAGCTATGTCCGGACCATAGAAACCAATATAGTTTGTGAACTAACCTTCCATGGTTTAAAGATGTTCAAAGGTTTAGGCTCTTGTTATGGATCAACCATAAAAATTGGTGTTCATTATCAAATGCTGGTTAGCCCAACTACTAACAAGCCCACAATATTTTAGTTTGCCAATGTAATTGGTTCTACGAGATAATGGGTCTGTCAGGAAATTTGTCAGAGGTAAGTAGTCACAAAATTTTAGGCATGAAACCAGGTGCCTCCTTTTGTAGTGTGTAAATGTTCATATTCTATGTTGCATGAATAATTGAATATCTAACATTAAGCAATGAAGATGTCCTAGGCCTATCTTGCAATTAGAACAGTAGATCAGAGAAGGGAAAAGATAAAGGGTTGAATATTTGATGAAAGATCGTGTTATTTATAATTTGAAGGTTGTTTGGTATGTAGGAAGTTGCATTTCTTTTGTGGAAGGAATCATGGGTACTGGGAGAAAATCCAATGGCAAGCAAAGGATCCCCAATTCATGGTCCACGCATAAAATTAATTGAAAAGGCCCAGCATCTTTTCTCAGAAACCAAGGAACATACCTTCGAGTCCAAGGCTGCTGAAGAGCACGCAAAGTTGTTGAGGTGAGGGATATCAATTACTTTAGTTTTTGTGTTTTTCAGGGCATCAAACCTCAAACTAAATTGCAATTGGAAAGGCCTAATCTAGATAGAAAATGACTACAATGGGAAAAGCCAATTCTTACTGCAAATTTATTTGCATTTTCAAATATTTCTGAAATTTTCAGAATACAGCACGAGTTAGAAGTAAGTACAAAGCAGGCCATATTTGTTGATTCAAGTATCAGTGATACTATACGAACATGTATTGTTCTGGGGAATCATCGAGCAGCAATGAAAGTGAAGACTGAATTCAAGGTTCTTAAACTGCCCCTATATTCTATCTTGCTGAAAGATGTTTCCATTGGTGACACAAGATATAACATTCATTCTACAACTGAATACAAGGTTCTTTTAGATTGCCCTAACTACCAACCGAATCATAATTTTTTGCTTTATTGCTTACTTGTCTCAGGTTTCTGAGAAGAGGTGGTATTGGCTTAAAGTTTTTGCTTTGGCTACAATTAGAGATTGGGATGCTCTTGAGAAGTTTTCAAAAGAGAAGAGACCACCAATTGGTAACCTATCGAAATTCTTGTTCAATTTCACTAAGCTAGATAGATAACGTCATAATCATGCATTTGTCTGCAAGTGCTCTCAGCTACCTGCTATCATAGAAGATTAATAATTCTTGCATTCTTTGTTAGTGATCTTTGTTACCTAATATTAGGAAAGCTTGGATTGTAAATTAACATCATTAGTTGAAGTGATGTGGGATGGGTTTTCTCAAGGTTTCCCTTCCCCATCCAATTTTTGTACACTTATTGTTTGCATTGGCTGGGAGAAAAGAAGAATTAGGCAAAGGAAAAAAACGAAGAAAATGGAAAAGTAAAGATAATTGTTGACATTAAAATTTTAACCTACCGATTTTTTAGAAAGATGGAGTTCAATTCTTAGTTTCCAAAATAGGTTTAGCCTAAATTGATTTTATAATTTAAACTTATCTGTATTAGTTCATGCATATGCAGAAATCTGATCTTTTAATTTTCTTTGATTCCTCTGTTATCTTTTGTTTCAAAAGAGTATGTATGTATGTGGTGGGTTGGAAAGACATTAATTTGTTTACGGTAACCATTTTTTTTTTCCTTTTTTTGGTGCATCAAACAGGTTATAGGCCATTTGTTGAGGCATGCATTGATGCTGATGATAAAGGTGAAGCTCTAAAATATATCCCCAAGCTTGCTGATGCTCGAGAAAGGGCTGAGGTAACAATTGATGTTCCAATATTTGTCTTCATTTCGCCTTCATTAGTTTCTACTTTTCTGTTTGATTGCTAAACTAGTAGATGCAAGTGATCTGTGTACGGTTCTGACAGGCTTATGCTCGGATTGGGATGGCCAAAGAAGCTGCTGATGCTGCTTCTCAAGCCAAAGATGGTGAATTGCTTGGTAGATTGAAACTGACATTTGCACAAAATGCAGCAGCTTCATCACTCTTTGATACTCTTCGGGATCGATTGTCTTTCCAAGGCGTTTCCTAGATTTAATAACATCTCTTATCTTATTTTCATTTTATCACTTTTGTAGCTAATGAGTGTTCAAAATTTGATCTGTTTCACTCTATCTAATTGGGGCTTTAGCCTATCACCGTCAATTATGATGACAACTACTACATAAACGAGTTGGGTCTGGAGGATGCCTTGTATGTTGTCTTAAGCTTCCTAGTAGGTGGCCTGACCACCTGAATACCAGTGGGAATTTGATTTTGGAGTTGTGGAACTGCTTGGTGCTGTCCCTCTTGCTAAGTTTCGCTGGTATAGTAGCTGTCTTCATGATTTGAATACATGGAAACCTCACCCTGTGACTAGATGTCATATAAGGGAATTCATACGGTAAGTTTGATTAATTCAATTATTGAATTAATTGAATTATATTATATTATTTTTATTAATTGAATTTTTTTAATTTCAAAACAAATTAAATAAAATTATCTAATAAAAATATTCAAACACTATAATATCTAAAAATTTTAATAACTTGAAATGAAATAGACAATTTTATATATTTTTAATTTTATACAGGAGTTTTATTATATTTAAATTAAAATTTTGATTTATTCGTATGATTGAATTTTTAAATTGAATTAATTGAAAATAAATTTTTTTAAAAATTATTTTTCATAATTAATTAAAATTAATTTGATAATCGATCAATTTATTAAATTAAATCAATTTGATTTATTAATTCAGTTAAAATAGAATTACAAATGCCTTAACGTTATTTCATTGTACGTCTGTTCTACGGCACCATTGAGGGTTGTCTTGATATTCCTTGTACGTATTGTAATAACCAGTTGGACTTTGATGTCGCATCCAATTGCCGTAGTTCTTGATCTTCGTAGGGTTTTTCTCAAAAATCTGCAATCACAAACATACGTAATTCAAAACACCATGTATGAAAAACAAGGTGGCCTATATGATTAAATGCATTGCAATAAGCATACGCTATATATCAATGGGGTTCAAAATTTCAACGGATGCAAAGAACAAGCAATGGTCAATACCTCATTGATGGCCAAAACTTGTCCATTGCTTTTCTTCACCTTCTTCGGCTTCCTCAAAAAATACCTGAAAACAAAAACAAACATCAAGAAAATGAAAACTGAGATCCCCCAACATAAGAAATCAAGCATAAACAGCAAAAATGCAATTTACAGACCATAACTCGGTTTTGGCACGCACTTCATTGGTGGCCCAAAGCTTCATATGGTAAATCTTGGGATGCTAAAATGCTTCTGTTGGGAAACTTCTTCCCACCACTTGGTACTGATGAAGCTGTCATTTGTTTCCCAAAGGAAATTCAAAACCCAGAATCCCATTACCATTTTATCAACAAATAAATAGATATATATGATATTGATTGCTAACGACCCTGAAAGCAACCATTTTTGAGATACAGAAGAAAGCAGCTGCCGCTCACTTGCTCTCTTCTAGTTAACTTGTGTGGGCTTTCATGGGCCTAAGGATTTCAGCTTGACCCAAGCTCTCACCCCCTTTCTTTGTGATACTAAAGCCCAAAGCTCACTGTTTCTGTTGAAAATCGGTAACCAAACCTTTTGAGTTTGAAATTGAATCACATTTTTTTTCTTTTGCTCAACACAATGAAATTGGTGATGTCTAATTAAAAGGCAAAATTGGTGAAGCATCATTGACCATGACCCTGCCACCACAATGCCTTACGCTCTTTGCCTTTGGCCGCAAGGCAAGGCAAAAGCAATGGCAAATGGGATGAAAATTGCTAGTAAACGCTCGCCATCCAAGCTACTTTCACACTTCTTTTCTTTGAATTCTCTTTTTCTCCGTTGATGAGTCATCACTCATCATTCATCCATGACAAGCAGTAACAATTCATTCATGACATGATAACGGATAAGATTATATCTCAGGCAGCATTCCTCATGAAAACCACAGAGATGAGCATACTGGTATGAAAGTTATAGTTGAATTAGCATGACATCAAATTGATAAGCATATTAATCAGTAATCGATTTGATTATACAACAATTCAAGAATGTGTACATCTATCTGTAACTGACCTGTAGTCAATTTTATCATCTGAACCTTACAAAAGGAAGAAAAAAATGAATCAAATTTTTTGTATGTTACCTCTGAAACTCCATGTTTATAGTTTTTATCCTACCACCTTTAACTCTAAACATCAGCACACTTCATTGGTGCATATCCCAGCCTAGACTTCTTTGTGTCATACAATACATGGAAATTCTGCTGCTGATAGTTTCCTATAATGGAAAGAGCTGATCTTGGAGTCCCCAAAATTGCCAAACAAACAACGTCTTCTTCAAGCCAGATGAAGTAGTTCTCCACTGGGAAATTCCAAATGGCCCCATCAACAAACTGAATCCCAAAATCGGGCAGCTCTACGTTTTCAACTCCAGATACGTTGTAACAAGGGTCCAGGACTGGAAAATCTTTCAAAACTGGATATCCTTTTATTTTCTTCACAAATGCCTCTTTGATAATCTGATAAGCAGGATCGGCAAAATAACTTAGAGTAGTTCCTGAATCAATGATTGTACCGCCGGCACCATCAGCTGACAACTGCCATGTCTCCTCTGGTATTTTCAACACCTCTCCTCCAACAGTGACTGATTTTATCTGGACGTAGTAAAATGTATCAACAGAATTTTCCTTCCCAGCAACCAATGATGTGAAATTCAATTCAGGGTGGCTCAGAAGATCTTTGTCCTCCCCAAAAATCAACTTGCCGCTAACATTGGCATCACTGTTCCTATCAACAAGACAGTATGAAAAGGAATGACCATATAGTGATTGCAGCTGAGAGGCAAACGAGAGAGGCCCTTTCCCAAGCCCTAACAACCCTGCAGCGCCATGGAAGAGGCCTCTATTCCAATGACCACAGCCAAACATCACATTCTCCACCTGTCTAAATTCCGATTTCCCACTAGGAGATGTGAGATTGACAGTAAATGTCTCGAGTGCAAAATCACCAGTACTATTGGAACTGTCCCCATACCAATAATAATAAGGACACGTCTGATTCTCAGCTTTGCAAGGCTGAGGAGGATCAGGTGATGAAACCAAATGGCATCTTGAATCCTGGCAACTTATATTCCTAAAGGAACTTGATTCCTTAGGATCATAATAAGGCCCAGTTTGTTCGAAACAATCATAACAAGGAACACATTGAATCCAATTAAGGTCACTACCAGTATCAAGTATCAAAGAGAAGTGTTTAGGAGGAGTACCAACAAACACATCAATAAAATATTCTCCTGAGCCAAGACTTACACCGGACTCCAAAGTTGCCACAAGCTGGCCTGGAACCCCACTTGTATAAGATTCCAGTGCTGCCGTTTTTCCAACCACAGACTTCAAATGCTGCTTTGATTGCTTTCTATTGTTGTTTAGCCTTGAAATGGCATTTTGGTTCTTCTTCTCAATGACACTTGTATGAAGTGTCTGAATTCTGATCAAATCCCTCATTGTTGACTCCAAAACAGATTTTTTTGGCTCAGCCTTTCCATCTAGCTGCCTATGCTTCAAGTGCAGCTTAACTGTCTTCTTGGGTTTTTCTTCTTCATCTTCCTTATCATCAAGACAAGAACTTTCTTCTTGGGAAGCTATCTTTTGCGATTGTTTTGCTTCCTTTTGTTTTGACAGGCTGCAATCATTATTGCTTGTAGAAGAAGAAATAGCATTGAAGCTCATGGGGTCAGGGAGTTCTATGGCAGCCAGCGTAGACATATTGGAATTTCCATTTTTTATGTGATCATAATGGACTCTAGCAATGGCTTCAAAAGCACCAGAGGAAATTGAAAGAAGAAGAAGAACAAGACTTAGAGAAACTTTCACAAACATTGCACTGATCTTCTCTTGTTTGGTCACAGAGAAAATCCTACATGAAATGAAAAACAAGTGCCCCAAAGCTGAAGAAAGTCTCAAAATTTAAGGCCTAGCTGGTTAGAGGAAAACCAAGAATCTTTTTCCGATCCAATAACAAAGCAGAGCATAAACACAAAAGCCCAGAAAGACAAAAGACAAGACTCAAGAAAACTCAATAACCAGAAAGGAAAATTGCTTTAAATTCTTTGCAACTTTTTCAGAGAAAAGAAAACTAGTTTTCTGGGGAAAATAATGAAGGGAGAGGAAATAGAAAACCAAAGTAAATAAGAAGGCAAAGGCAAAGGGAAGCTTTCAGGTAAAGAAGAAAAATGACAGCTTTTTTTTTATAATTTTGTTGCTAATCAAAGACTTTGAATCAAAAGAAAAGAAAAAAAGTTTACTTTTCAAAACGCGGTTTCATTTATATATGAAAAATAAATGCACTCAAAATCACCAACTACTTAATGATATATATATATATATATATATATATATATATATTGAGAAAGAACATCTGATTTGCTGGTCTTCTTCTTCTACTTCTTCATGAGTTTCTTCCTCTCTGTTTCCTGCTTCATTACTTGAAACTTCATTTAGGTGTTCACATTTACAGCTTCCTTACTACATTTCAGCAATGCCAAGTCAAAGCAAAGCTCTCTGGCCCTTTCTTTTTTTTAAGTTTCTGGTCTTGGTTTTGACATCACAAGTTGGGTGGCTATCTTTTAAAGTGCAAATCTTTTAATTTTGACCAAATAAAGCAGGAGAAAGGGCAGAAAAGGAATTAGAAAAACAGGCGGCCATTGACTTGTGACAGGTCAATAATTTAGGTTAGGATCCGATTTTACCGTATTTTTGGTACAATGAATACTCAAATATTAATTTCAATAAAATTTATTTAACATAAATTTTTTATTTAATTATAATTACAGTAATTTGTATTATTATTTTTAATATTATTAAAATCAATTTTATCACTCAATCAAATAAAGTATTAATTTATTATATTAAAAAAAGGAAAAAATAACTTTAAAATGCATAATATATTTAAAAAATTATTTAATGTATTAAAATTAAAAAGTTACCGCATACCTGTAATGTTCAAATTTAGCTGGAAAAGACAATGATGTCAGAGAGCATAAATTAAAAAAACAATGTTGAAAACATGTTTTTTTTTTTGGGTAGCAAAAGTCAATTTCGACAAATTCATACTGATGTCACCGCATATCAGTCGAGTATGTCTTGGACCGATTAAAAACTGGTGAAACACTTGAATAAGGAGATCAAATCAAATTGATTTTGAGCATTAATTGTATTATTACTCCATCAATTTTAGAAATAAAGTTTTGTTTTAAAATATTTTATTAAACTAAATTTTTATAAAATTTATTTGAAAATATTAAACAAAAAAATTATAAAAATATGAACCTACAAAATATTATTTATTTTAATCTTAAAATTTTTCAATTTTATTTTATAAAAAATATTTCACAAATTTAAATTTAAATTTTTATTTATAAATTATAATAAATTTTTAAAATCTTTCGTTATGAGATTAAAATATTATAAAATAATTTAAATTAAATTCTTTTAAATAGATTTTTCATTTGACATGATTCGTTGTCTTCAAGATCAAAGTTTATCTATTAAATTTGAAACTATTACTAACAAAGAGCAAAACTATAGAAAATAAATAAATAAATTGCATTATTAAGCAATGTCAACATACAACAGACTAAAAATGGATCCAATTGGTTTATAATAATAATAATGGTAGATAATCAAATTTATATCATTTTCAAGAATTGATGTGCTGAGTGGAATAAGGAGGACTTAATTGCACAAAAAGTAAATTTGAGGACGGCAATACTTAAGAGGATATAAGTTGGACGTCAAATTCAAAGAGATGAGAAAAAGAAAATTTGTTCATGGATCCCAATTTCAAATTCTCCAAATAAAAAATGGGGAAGGAATGTCCCATTAATATCTTTTGTGGAATGTTGAAGGACCCATAAACATAGAAATATGAACACAAATATCTCTCTTCTTTTTTTTTTTCTTGAAATAGAATAAATTTTGATGAAATGGGTTTTTTAATTGGTGAAAAATAGTAGGATATTGATTGGTTTGGAATTCCCAACACGCAAACATGTTACGATTGACTCAACCTTGGGAAAGAGGATTGAAGCTAACAAGGAGTGATTGTTTCTTGGGAAAATCAAATGGGAATTTCCTTTAGGAAATCGTCGTCTTGCGTTTGGACATGAGCATACAATGTCAAACATAGAACCCATGCATGGACTTTTTGAATGCTAAGATAATATACATTACTCTTTTTTCTCATCATTTTCCTCTTCAAAGTTCACCCTCTCGCACGTAAGAAAATGAGTTTTCTTTATCTGTATTCACAATTCACAGTCCAAAACTGATGATGATGATGACGACGACTAGCCAATGCAGTATCAGTTAGTTTAAAATGACACTGGAAAATTGGGGCAGAGGCGAAAGCGATTCCAGCGTATTGACTAATCAACACATCTCATCTAAGTGAAAAAAATATGAGTGTTCATTGGGTTAATTTTTTTGGTTAATCAATAATAAATATATTTCAATTAAATTAATATTTTAAATTTTTTATATTTTAAACAAAGTAAGTAAAATTATTTAACAAAATATTTAAATACTAAATTATTATGTTAAAATTTTAACAATTGACGAAAATAAATGATCTATTTTATGTATTTTTTATTTTATATTTAGATTATATTATATTTTCGTTAAAATTTTGATTAATTTAATTTTTAAATTAAATTAATCAAAAATTAAAAAATTTTTAAAATTATTTTCGTTAATATGATTGAAATTAATTTAACGATCGATCGATTAATTGAATTAAATTAATTCAATCAACTAATTTGATTGAAACCGAATTATGAATACTTTAAAAAAAAATTATAAGAGAACTAAGAGTTCGACTGAAGATTAAAAATTTCCGGCATTTTTATTTTTATGAAAAGATTTCCGAGAAATAGGCTAGGTAACCACCAAACGAAAGAGCCTTAAGGATCATCGTATATGGTTAGAAAGAAAGAAAGGTTTTACTGGTTATGTCACTTGAATGAAACATTTTAAAAAATTATGTGACTTACATGTTTAGGAACATTTCAATCACAAGGAACAAATTTCCAAGAAATGGTTTCAATTCAATCATATTCTTGAAAAAAAATCTCATATAAGGACAAAAATTTAACCAATCTCTAACGGATTTCAACCCGACTCGATCCTATAATATCAACTTTTTTTTTTAAATTCAAATTTTAAGTCGCGTCGGATCATGTAAAGTTAAAAAATAATCGAAATTGAATCGGATTCAGATTTTAAGTAAATTTAATTCGACCCGATATTATATAAAAAATTATTTTTTAATTAATTATTTAATTATATATTTATATAATGATATTTTTAAATATTTATATTTAAAAAATAATATTTTATATTAAAAAAATATTTTATTAATTTCAAATCGGATCGAATTTAATATAATTTATATAATATCGAATCATGATTAATTCAGATATTAAAAAAAAAAAATTAAATAAAATCAAATTCAAATTTAATAACATATAAAATCAGATCAAATTCGAAATAAATAAAACCCATTTCAAATTCAACCCGATGTCAACCCTAATTTCGTAACAATTCACAAGTTTTGATGAAAGCAAAATATCGGCATCGCAGTAATGGCATACAAGGACAAACTTAAATATCAATATGATCATAGTATACGGAATTCAGGACACCATAAAGTAGTCCAACCAACATTTCGGCAGTCTATGACACTTTTCTTACATGGTTGGAGTGGGCTGCGGATTACACTTCCGTTATTAATATTGTTCAGATTCCAGCCTAGAGTATGTGTCAAGCTAAATGTTTTAAAGCAGTGGGGATGATGCTTTAATTTTATGCAGGATAAAAAAGAAAGGTAGCTGGATATATAACTGTTAGTGCAGTATATTTCAATAAATTTATTTTACAAGAAAAGAATAATGATTACATAATAAGTAATATCAAAATTAATCATGAAGTCATCCGATTTTGCATTAAGTGCCCCCAACGAGGTTAGACTTTGACTCGTTCAATTTTGTATCAAATGATAAGAATATAAATGATATATTAATATTCGTAAATTATTTAAATTTGATTCAAATAAAATTTGAATTCATCTCGATTATTATCGAGTCGAATTTGAACTCAAGTAATTTGACTCATCAATTAAGTTAAGCTCGAATATTTTTATACTCGATTCGAATAGCTTATGAGCATAATCAAATTTTTATATTTAAATATATTTTTATTATTTTAATTAATAAAATATCTCAAACTCAAATTCGAATACAAATAATCAAGCTTTTATCAAATATAAAAATTGAATTTATTTTTACATGTTAATCGAACTTAATTAAACGAATTCGAATAATTTAATTTTTATTTCAAGCAAAATTCGAACTAAAAAAATAAAACTCGATCGAATTTGAACCGAATTTTAAATTTTAAATTTCGAATTGAATTTAAACTCAAGTTTAAGTTTGATATTATATCAATTCGAACTTGATCGATTATAACTTTATCAAATACCTCAATAAGAATAAAGAGGGTGAGCTAGTTTGGGCGTTTAATAAGATACAAATAAAAAATGATAATAAAATTTGATCATGTCAAATATTTCAAAAGAGGAAAGGTACCAATGGCTTTATGCATAAAGCAACAAACAAGACAATCCCTATTATCAAATTCCCGAAACCCAGGTTGTCGAGAAATTAAGGTGCCACGTGCAAGTGCAAGGAGCAGCATCCTGAAGGTGGACCATAGACTCCCCATGCATGCGTGCTATTATAACTGTCTATCTTATCATCTTCCAAGTGTCTTCAATGTTCCATAAAAATAATATAAGACCCACCCATTTCCCAACTGCCAAGCGTTCATGATGATCCAACAACTTCAGAGCTTTTTTTTTTTTTTTTTTTTTATCAGATTTTAGCATTCCAACACGTAAATGTAATCAGGCGAATGGTCTAAAAATATGATAAAATAATTCGAATACCATGCTATATATGACTCAATATTAAATTTGTCATTATAAGCTAGCTACCATCCAACTATGTCATATTATCAATACTTTTGCTTTATCTTTACTCTTGGGTATATGATCAATTTCATTGGCAATAAAAGCTTGCTACATGCTAGCTGGGATTATCGAACTGGCATGGGCATGGCGTACATGAGCAACATTCCCTGGATTTTCTTCATTCAAATCTTAGCTCTGGCTTCTAATTCCGAAGCCAAAGTGTCAGCTGTTATAGTCTTTGGAGATTCATCTGTGGATTCAGGTAACAACAATTACATTCCAACAATTGCCAAGTGCAATTTTGAGCCTTATGGCCGTGATTTTCCCGGAGGCACCCCCACTGGACGCTTCTGCAATGGCCGACTTCCTCCTGACTTCATATCCGAGGGCCTTGGTCTAAAACCTGTCATCCCTGCCTACTTGGATCCTGCTTTAAACATCTCAGAGTTCGCCACTGGAGTCTGCTTCGCTTCTGCTGCAACTGGCTATGACAATGCTACCGCTGATGTACTGGTAATTCCTCATTTCAACTCTTTAAAGTATCTTAAGCTATTCAGGATTCTTTAATCTCATCCTGTTCTGTCTTTGTATTTATGACATTAAATCAGTAAATTCTTATGACATTTTGATAGTATATAGTAAGTATATGATATCCATTTACTTTTCCTTTCGCTCAAATTGGGTGGTTTTGATTTTGTTACTGATTAATTTTACCTGGTACAATTGACAGAAAGTGATTCCTTTATGGAAGGAAGTGGAGTATTACAAGGAGTACCAAACGAAATTACGAGCCTATCTTGGTGACAAGAAGGCGAATGGGATAATCTCCAATGCCTTGTATCTGATAAGCATAGGAACGAACGATTTCCTCGAGAATTATTATGCCCTTCCTGATAGAAAGTCCCAATTCACCGTTCAGCAATACGAGGATTTCCTCATTGGCATTGCTGAAAACTTCGTTAGGCAAATTTACAGTCTAGGAGCTCGAAAGATGTCCCTAACAGGACTTCCTCCAATGGGTTGTTTGCCAGTGCAGAGAGCCACAAACCTTGAAGACCCTCTTAAATGCGTGGAGGAACGCAACAAAATTGCCTTGGAGTTCAATGGCAAGTTGAAAACTTTGGTGGCAAAGCTGAACAAGAATCTTCCAGGTTTGAAAATGTTCTTTGCAGATCCTTATTACCCACTATTGCAGCTTATCACAACACCTTCTGAGTACGGTAAGTGAATGATAACATCACAAACGATCGATCTAATTGACAATTGACATGTTTCAGTGTGAGATCTATCTAGTTTGTTGTTGATTGTCAGGATTTGAGGTTGCAGAAGAAGGATGTTGTGGCACAGGGCTGTTTGAGATGGGTATTCTGTGCAATCGGCATAATCCATTCACATGTACAGATGCAAATAAGTATGTATTTTGGGATGCCATTCACCCCTCGCAGAGAACAAATAAAATAATCTCAGATAATTTACTTCGCGAACTCAAACAACTGTCTCTATGATTTCTCAAACAAATCGAGTTTTCCAACAATAGATGATCCATCGGATGCAGATCATCGAGCCTACATGTCCTTCGCCAGAAATAGACCAATTTCCATTAAATTGAATGCTAAAAGGCTTTTAGGCAGCTACAATATGCTATTTATACTCGTTTCTCTTAATTACATAAATATTATTTCACTTGATAGACTTTGTATAGCAATAAATTTGGGGTAAATTGTAACTGAAAAAACCTGGATAAATTTCTTGGGTTGTCGTTGAACATTCACCATTTTCCTGTTGTCCTTTTTTTTTTTTTTTAATTTTGGTAAAAACCATGTGAGAATTTACAATTAAAACAAACATTTTTCCTCCATATAATTCTTGACTATCCATAATGATCATATAAGTAATGGAGAGTACCCTGATCATCTATATCAATCATAAGATCCAGTTCTTCACACACCTTGATCTGATTATCACTTTGGCACATCCCCAATTCTCCAGGCCCCCAACCCCAATTCTCTTCTTCATCATCTCTCTCAGGATTTTGAATTCATCCTCACTCACCATTACAAAATGCTGCATCCATTCCCCTTCATTATGCCCCGAAATCGTCTGTGTCTGGCTCCTCCTCCGCATCCAAAACACCAGCTTGCAAGCAAATCACAAACAACACCATCTCATTGTTTGCTAGCACAAAAGAGTTTGGTCCACTCTCTATGACCTCAAAAAGCTTATGTATTGAGTATAACTATTTCTTGTCACAGAAACTCTAGAATGCAATGCATATAAAGCAACTCTGCTATACCTCTTGAAAATACCTGTTGGCAGAACCCAAACCCAAAAATCTTGACCATTGTCTTCTTCCACCAAAATGCATCTCAGAGTTTGAGATTTTCTCTGCAATCAATCAGACCTTAATTTTGTATTTCAACCTTCCTAATACCTAATGGCTACAAGTATCCTTTCTCACATATAATGAAATAAACTTCGAATGGTGGCTCCCAGGTATCAATGCATTAAGTTCAACAAAACTAATGTTTCCTACATCAACATTCGTCAGACCTCATTCAATTTAAAAGTAGTAACTGATGCAAAATGCAGAGGCTAGGCAGTGGAGAATTCTATAGGGACTATATATGATAAGACAGCTTAAATCTTTCAGTTGGCAAATGTTTGATTGTCTTGCTTCATAAATAAGTTCTAATAGCTACTGGAAATCATTTATGCAAAATAACTGATCAAATGCATGCAACTAAAAAAAAATGATATAGGAACATGATGCGAAACCAAATTCAAATTTTCATAAATATAATCAAATCAAGGTTGCTCATTCCTATAAATGAACAACTTTTGTAACTATTTTTGGATTCTCCAGCAAATTTTTTTATGCATGGCTATATATCCAATTACAACAAAGACTGAAAAAATTATTCCATATACCATGATCATCACATTGTCATTGGTCTAACCATGATTAGTAAGTACCTCATTCAACTACATTAGTTTATGGCACAAGAACATGCAGCAATAAGAGGGATCTTTTTTCTCATGCAGTGGCAGATCCTGCAATTTGTTTGGCTTCAAGGGTCTTCTCGTACTCCTCAATGGATTTGAAGAGCTCGGAAAAGTTGCCTTTTCCAAACCCTCCACATCCACCTTTTTGGTATTGCTTTCCTTGTTCATCTTGGACCATACACCCAACTCTCTGAATTATCTCTATGAAGATTGTTGGCCTACCCAAAAAAAAAAAAGGATCAAAATTTCAACCATCTGTTCATAGGAAAAGACTTACATGATATTTGTTAAGTGAAATTTCGTGAAGTTCTCTATTAAAACTGATCAAATAGAAACTAAAACCGAAAATCAAAACTTGAAAGTTCTTATTACATATCAAGTAAGTAAAATTTGAAAAAATTTGAAAAAAATTTGATATTTTTTTTTTTTTTTTACATATTATTGTTCTTCTTGTTGAATTCTATTAATTTATCAGTTTAAATTTTTTATTAAAATTTTTGTTAAATTATTTTTAATAAAAAACTTCTCAAAGAACTTCATATAAGATCTTCCCTGTTCATAAACTACTAAAATACTAAAATGTGTACAAACTAAAAAAAAAAGATTAAATTATTGATTACCTATCTCCGACCGGCTTAGTAAAAATCTGAAGCAAAGTCCCTTGATCATCTCGATCAACCAAAATCCCCAACTGTTCACACTCCTTGATCTGCTCGTCACTCAAAACATCCCCTGCCCTGTTCTTCAAGTTCTTATAGTAAGTAGGCGGCGGCGATGGCATGAACTCGAAACCCCCAACCAAACTTCTCTTCCTCATTTCCCGCAGTGTCTTGAATATATCTTCACTTACCAACGCCAAATGCTGAACCCCAGCTCCTTCATTGTGTTCTAGGTAGGTTTGGATCTGGCTTTTCCTCTTTGTTCCAAACACTGGCTCGTTCATTGGAAGCAATACCATTTCATCGTTGTTGGCCAAAACGACAGAGTTTAGCCCACTTTCGCTTGTCCCCACATCTTCAGCTGTGAACTCTGCAAATTCATGGAAACCTGTGAAAGATTTAACGTACGAAACGGCAGGGCCCAGTTCCGGGACATTCCCGACCGCGTGATCGAGTCTTCGGATTCCGTAATCCAACGGGTAAGAAAGATCGTCTTCTATTTTTTCGAAGCCGGGCAAGAAGAAGAAGTCGTGGTGGTGGCTGTCGGTGTTTTTATTGTAACTGATATAACGCAAAACCACGTCGCCGTAAAGTTTGACTTCGGAGAGGGCCGCGTCGTTGCCGAGGAGGATAGGCGGGGAAGAGGGTAAGGCACCGTGGGAGACGCTGGTGGTAAAGGCGATTTCGGCGTCTTCGACTTCGACGGCGATGGCACGGACGGCTAAGCCGTGGGAGGAAGCGAATGAGCAGCAGGCCCCGTGGTCAAAGGTGGGGATGGAAGCAGTGGATTGAGGAGAAAGGTTCTGCGAATGAGCAATGGAAGGCGAGTAAGGGGCAGTGAAGAGAAAGTTGAGGTCACCGGAACGGAGAAGGTAAGAAGCGTGGGTCAAGTTCCCGGTGGAAAGGTCCGATTTAGCAAGCAATCGCATGCCGAGACCCCATGAGAAACGACGGGCCGTGTTGGTGGCATCGGTGCACCAGAACTCTATGTGGTGGAAACGTTTGACGTTGAAGCGGTCGGATTTGGGATTGGTCCGGACGAAGTTGGAGAATCCAACAAGCTTGAACTCCCGGCTGGAGGTGGACTGATTTTCTTTGCCCATTGATTCGGTTTGGAGATCGTGCTCCACGTCCTGGGAGCCGTTCAAATAAAAGTCTTCAAAGAAGTTAAATGAGGACACGTGGTGAAGTGGTATTGGTCTGTGCTGTTTCTAAGGTGCTGATTATTTGGAATGATGTGTCGTACTTATCGAGTTGGAGTGCGTTTCGGCCTCAAATTTGAATAAAAAAATTAATTATTTAGACTAGATCAGGGTCAGACGTCACTTGCAGTTCCGTGACGAGATGGACAGGCCGTGATGCAGGTGGGTTTAACAGGGTAGATTGCGCAGAATTGTACTTTGAGTGACGATTGAACAGCGTTTGAAACGTCAGGTTTAATTTATCGATGGGAGGCTTTAATAAATCGAAATAGATAATATTTTGTACACATTGATGTAAATTATTACACCTATTTTATTTCATGTTTATATTTATATTAAATAATTTTAAATATGATAATATAATATAAAAATAATATAAATATAAATATAATATAATTAAAATTTTAATAAAAATTAAAAATACATATTTTATATTAATATAAATTATAATATATAATTTTATATAAATATAATATAAATATAAGAATTATTAATATTTTATATAAAAAATTAAAATTATTATATCTACTTATATTTTTGTTCGGGCCTAATTACTTAAGAAGTGCAAAAAGCGATGTTTAAATAAAACTAGAATTAATCCTCACCGTGTTGGGGTAGAATAATTATTTTTATATAAAAATAATAAAAAATAAAATAAACAAAGAGATCGAAATCATAAATATTAAAATTAAAAATATATATAATATTTTATATATTATGATTATATTATACTACAAAATATAACTATAGGAAGATTCATTGTGCCGTGGGCTAACCATTAACAATATCTGTAGCTTTCTTGTTCATTGTACCTTTCTTGGCCACCCCAATCCCCCACACATCTCAGTAATCAGCCGGTAATCAAAGTGCATCGGCATAGTTGCTGCTCGATAATACAAGGCTGGAATGACAAACGAAAATGATTTTAAGATATATTGTAAATCCTAAAAGCTTTTTTAATCTTACCAATGACAATATGTAAAAAATATCAAAATGCTTTTAAAATGCCGTGAAATTAAGTTTGAATTTCTTAATATTAGTGAATTCAAACCTCTAAATGTTTTTTTAATGAGAGACGAAAATATTTTATTTTTAATAAGGTTTTTTACAATAAATAGTTAATTTCACCGTGAAAGTAAGTGACTGTTCTTTTATATTTTCAATTTTCAAAATGTTTTTGAAAACAGGATAGTTGACTTTTTTAAAACAGTTGACTTCCTTTCATTTTTAGAACCCTTTTAGCATTAAAGCAATTGACTCTTCGTTAAAGCAATTGACCTCTATCAAATTTCAAAATGATTTCACCTATAAAGCAATCGACTCCTCTACAAAGCAGTCGATTACTTTGTTCATTTTTCATTTGTCAAAAGGCTCTCAATAAATAGCAGTTGATTATTTTAGTGTTAGGAATCAACTGTATTGATTTCCAGTTTTAGCAATTGTTTGCCTTAAGTGGGATAATTGATTGCCAATTATATTGAGACTTTCCTTAACTTTTGTTTTGCATAGCAATTGACTTTTATGGTGCTGGTTGTCAATTGCCTACTTATGCAATCTTCTTACTTTGATTCTTTTATATATAAAATTAAATCTTTTTATTTTGAAACCTTTCTTTAAATTATTTTATAGTTTAATATGATTTTTTTATTAAATTTTCATATTTAATCATAATTTTCATATTTTGAAAATCATTCTACTAATTGTCAAGCTCTGTCCAAATCGAGCATTAATACTTATAAAAATATGTTTTCATGATATTGTTTCATGAAATTTCTCAAACCAACTATAATGTTTTTGGCTTGTAGGGTTATGTTGGAAATAATAACTTAAATTTTATAAGATATGAATATGTATTTATTTGAATTATTAATACTTTATTAAATAAAAAAAAAATGAGAAAGCCCACGAATGTTTTTTAATATGGAGTGTTTGATTAATATATTTATATTTTTTTTATAATCCGTAAATATAAGATGATGGAGTTAAAATATATTAAATTATTATTTTATGTGTAATTAATTAATTATTTGATTATATTTTTATTGATTTAATTATTTAATTAATTTAAACTATTTTATCTAACAATTAAAATCATAATTTTCATAATTCTAAAAAGTTACTCATACGGCAAACAATGTTGACCTTTCTAAGCTGTTACTTGGAATTTGGTTGAAAATTGGCCATGCTCTGTACAAACATTTAATACTCTAATTTTTATGGTCATTACGCATTTAAATGGAGGTTTGAATTCCGTCGTATTAAAATTAAGCTTATTACATCATCAATTAAATTTAAATATCAATTATAATAAAATATATTTAATATAAAAATTTTTATGTATTTTTTAAAATATAATTATAATATTTTTAATTTTTAATTTTATCAAAATCAATTTTATTACTCGTAATTGTAACTTCTTTCGTATTTTCTAATTGCCATAGCTTTGTCAAATGCAATGGCCATTAAGTCAAAAGCTTCATCCGCTAATTCATGATTCTAAGCAACAAGAGCAATTTCATCCCATTAATAATGGAAAAACTCCATAATACACAAAAATTACTTTAAAAAAGAATGCACTTATGAAAAGCAAAATAAGCAAACTTCATGAGAAAAAGGTATAAAAAAATTATAATAAAAAAAATTTTTTTTATCCAAAAAAAAGCAAAAATTGAAAAATATTTGAATGACATTTTGTTTCTTATATTTTTAAGGTGTCATTTTAAATATTTTATATTAATTTTTTTAATAAATTTATTCAATTTATAAATAATAATTTTAATTCTATTAAAATATTTTCATTAAGTGATTTTATTTGATTAAAAAGATTTGTTAAATTTATCAATAAGAAATTTTAATTATTCAAACCCAATTGTAGTTAATTTATAATTATTATTTACCTAAAAAAGTAAATAAAAAAATAAGATTATGTTTGACAAACATTTTTGCTGATATATTCACCTAACAAAGACTAATAGTTTGAAATCTTTTTTATTTATTTATAAGATAAATTCTCTTATTATTTATTAATTATATTTGGAAAATAATTTAAATAACAATAAAAAGAACGAAAAGATAAAAGAAAGCATCGCCTAACTGCTAGTCTATGCAACAAACCTAACAGCTCTACTGAATTAAAAAAAAAAAAAAAAACGAATTTGTTTTTCTTCAGCTGAAGGTTAAAGCTTTTCCCTCCGATTTCATCTCCCATGGCCTCCAATGGAGCTTCTACGGTAAATCTTTTTTTTTTCTTATCTTCTTCTTCCATTTTATAGTAATTGGAATTGATTCTTTTTTTTTATTATTATTTTTGTATTTAATTTTGAAAGGAACAAGGAGTTAGGGATGCTACGGAGAACAGTTTGGAAAAGATCAAACGGCAGCTGGCCTCTGGCTCTGGTCGGAACTTGCTCCAAGGTCCACTTCTCAAGCGATCTGAGACCGTACGATCTCCTCTACTCTCTCTGTCTCTTCGATTTTACTGCGCTAATTCCAGCTAAATTTTCGATTTTGTTATCAGTTATAGCTTTCATCAATTTGTAATTTTTTTCGTAAATTACTGTACATTGGTTTGGCAGTTGAGGAAATGGAATGAACGGTGGGTGATATTAGATCCCACAACGGGGAAAATGGAATACAAGTAGGCGTATTTCAAGGTCTTATTTTTCGTTTTTGTTTTGTTTTCTTTCGAAGATTGAAATTAAACTAGAAATTCTGTTGTTTTGGTTGTTTAAGGACAAGGAGGAATGAGCCAAGTATTAAGGGAACCATTACATTTGATGAAAACAGCACCATTACCGTATCTCCTGTTAACTTTCAGTAAGACGATTTTCTTATTTCTGGTTTGGTTGATCATTGCTATGATCTGGTGATTCGTGTATTCCGTCGTGTAAAATATTGAAATTCATGTATTCTTATGATGTTTTATACAAAAATTATGAATCACAATTCGTGTTAACACGAAAACAGAAAATATATACTTTTTTGTTTTAATAAATCCATATATAGTTATTGCTAAAATTTTAAGCTGTGTCACCTTATCGTGTTTATGTCATGTCATCGTATCGTATTTTAGATTTCCAGGTCTCCTACAAGTCTTTGATTCTTTGGTTGGGAATTGTTATTAAAATGTTTCTTTTTATTGGCTGCAGTGGACTTCCAAAGTATGAAGGCTGCTGTTTCTGTATCCAAACAATTTTTGAAAGAAAACTGAAAAATTTTGAGGTTTTTTTTTCTTGTTTTTGAATTATGTTATGTTGAAAATTCAGTTGCTAAACTTGCATGCTTCTTAGCTATACCATTTAGATATTGGGACTCCCCAGAAAAAGGACTACTTTCTTTGTGCTGAGACTCCTGGTGCTGCTAGAGCTTGGGTATCAACTTTACAGTAAGTTATCTTTTTACAATGTGCCGCATTTCATCAGTCTTTTTACTATTCTGTTTTCTGTTAAAACTAGTTATATATATATATGTATGTATGTATGTATGTATTTGTTGTTAAGTTTGATTGATCAATTGTATAATATAATTACCATGTCTTGTGGATGATCTGTGATTCTGTGATGGGTACTTGTGCTTTCTAAGGAGGGCTAAGGTGATGGAATCCTCTTAGCAGAACCCAATTTGAGTTTACCTAGACAAAACCAATTTTAAACATCCCATGAATGTGGACCATAAATTAACATCCCATCTATTTAAACAAGTTGGAGGCAGATTGTGGTAAATAAAAAAAAATATTCTTGCTTTCTTCAAAATTTTTAATGGTATTTCAGATGTCAGAAATGCCTAAAGTGATAGGAGATTCAAGTTAAAGCAAAAGCTAATTCTTATCACTCTTTACATTCTTTCAAATTGTCTGAAGATGATGGCTGGTATCTTCTATTGTGGTTTGGAAAGTATACTTACCATATAATTTACAGACTTCTTTTTTCAACTCATTTTTTATATCTATTGATGATATTATCCTTATGTTGCTGTTTGGTTGTTGTTTCTCCCTTCCTAAAATTAGTGCGACACAGTTGGTTCTAAAGGCACACAAAGAGGCCGTTAATTCCTTAAGTGGGAATGGTTCTGCAAAATTTGGTACGGTTGCAACAGTAGTTGCTGCTGCCAATTCAACAGCCAAGGAATGTTCTAAAGAAATTGAAGCAGCAATGCAGATTTCTTTGAGAAATGCCTTAGGATTGGTCACAAGTAGACCCACTGATGGTCCAATGGATGATCTTACAATTATGAAGGTATGCTATGAGCAGTTTCTCCTTTCAATTTCTTGTGCTTGTGGGCTGTGCTTTTAAGTTATTTGAACATACCCGTGCTATACTTCCATGAGGTTTAATCCTTATTCTCACACAGAACTTATTGTGAAAGCATATTTGAAGTGCAACAAATTTGCAGTTGATATCTTTTTCCCTAATGTTAGGAGCTGGACATGTGATGGTTAAAAATTTTAACATGACTTATAGTTACTAGAATCAAATGCTTCTGTTTCTTCCAATCATTCACATTAATAAATATTCTGTATTCTGTTTTTGCTTGCATGAACTTTTTCCTCACAAGCAATGATATTAATAGCATCTTGCATGTTATGGAGGCGCATGCTGGTTAAAACTCTTTATGGCACAAGTTCTGTTATTCCCTACTCAAGCTAGTCCTAAATGAAGCAGTTTGTCATAATTGATGATTCCATTGGCAGTGTATTGGGAAGATTGATGGTAAATATGTAGGCCCAACGATTGCAAAAGTAACTCTAGCAAACACTCTTGGGTCATGGGCCTGTCTTGTTACAGTTATCTGGATTTTATGGTATGATTATGAGGGCTTATTGTTTTGTGCTAAATTGGAGATGGTGATGGATATTCCGATAACACTGGTGCCTAAGAAAAAATTTATGCCAGTTTGGGCGTTGAACCTGGCGAATGATCTTGTCCTGGGTCGACAACTATTAAATGCATGTTATTTGTTGTTTGGGTCTCTTAATCAGGCTTTCTAACTTGTCTTGTCTCCTTATTGTGGTTAGTGCTTGGTCAATTAAAGCATTTCATTCTACCTAGATTTGGTTTTCTGAGTGGTTGCTAAATCTTGTAGGAGACACTAAGAGTCAAGGATGAGGAATTGCAGAATTTGGCTCGAAATCTTCGTGCTCGTGATTCAACAATAAGAGAAATAGCAGAGAAACTTTCAGAAACTGCTGAAGCTGCTGAATCTGCAGCATCTGCAGCTCATACAATGGATGAACAAAGGAGAATTGCTTGTGCAGAAATTGAGTGCTTAACAAAAGATTCAGAAAAACAAAAGGAAGCATTCATGTTAAAGGTATGGCTAAATTTAAATTGTGTAACTCTAATCTTATTGCTAGCATGTGGATAGGATGGAGTTGATGTGCTAGCACGTTAATTGTCATCCATGAGTCGTGTTTTGCCCTTCTTCTCCTGTCATAACCCTTCATCATTGTTCACATCTAATTCACTTAGTGTCACTAATGTTGCTTTTCACTTTTGAGAAGTCACTTTTAATTGTCGACCATTTTTATTAGGGGCTTCAAGATTCCTATGTAACATATATTTTAATCATCATAATTGTTGTTCTAATGTTTTTTCCTTGGTGTTTGTAGCTGAGGGAGTCTGAAGAAAAGCTTGGGGTCCTAAGTAAGGAAAGAGATCAATTGATTAAGCAGAGAGACTCTGCTATGCAGGAGGCACATATGTGGCGCACCAAGCTTGCAAAAGCTCGTGAGAGTGTTGTGATATTAGAAGCAGCAGTTATGAGAGCAGAGGAGAAGGTCAGAGTTGCAGAAACAGATGCTGAAGCAAGAATAAAAGAAGCAGCACAGAAAGAGGCAGCTGCTGTGAAGGAAAAGCAAGAACTTTTCGCATATGTGAATGTGTTACAGGCACATCTCCAAAGGTTTGACTTATATTTTTAAGCATTATAACAATCATCCTGCTTTTACCCATTTTAGAAACCCTTAGAACTGTGGCATGTAAATTTATGCAATTGATAACCAACAGGAAATGTTTGAAAAAAATGTTCTAGAGATAATTGACAATAGAGTTAATTTTGTAATATACTGAGCACATCGAGAAATACTGGAGGAAACCTTGGCATCTTTCTTGAGAATGCAGAGCCCTCGCGTGTTTCACATTGTGAAATCGTGTCAAAAGTGTGTGCTTTCATCCAACTTCCAGCTCCTCTCCTGTTCGATCTAGAAATCCAATATCAAGACAAAATCATGGGTAGAAGAGTAAAAAGTGTCGATTAAATTCTTTTATATGGTAACACAAACTACTCTCTTGTTTTTCTCCCCCTTTTGGGTGATAGAAGCCATTTGCTCCATGTTCTTGAAGCTTCCGTTTATTATTCAAAATATGCAGGTTAATGGTATAATTTAGTCAGTTAAGTTTGATTTGCAGTTGATTTGTTAACACAGCTGCTGCTTTTATAGTAGAAAACAATTTAATTTGGTTCAGTATTGTTGGGGTATTTGTCATCGAACTGAAACTAAGAGCATAAATATACTTGTGGGGCAACAGAAGTTGATGTTGTCTTCTATTTTCATTCGCAGACAACAGAGTGACACGAAGCAAATTTTCGAGGAGAAGACCGAGTCCTCAAATACAAGTAACAGTCCACCTGATACAAAGGATGTTGACTTGTCAGAGAATGTTGACAAAGCTTGTCTTAGTATTTCTAGAGTAGTCCCAGTTCCTGGGGAGAGTGTAGTCCACATGGCAGTGGATCAAGTAAACATCCAACCGGTTGGTGATGGTGAATGGAGTGATATTCAGACAACAGAGGCAAGAATAGCTGATGTAAGAGAGATAGCCACTGAGACAGAGGGAAGCAGCCATGATATTTCTGTTGTTAGCCAAGCAATTAATAACCACCACCAGCCTTGAGAAAGTAATCAAGCTTACTTACAGAAGTGTAAAGATTCTTCATATATTTTAAAATTTCTTCCTCCCTCTCATGAGTTCCTTAATTTTATCAGACAAGCATGTCAATGTCTTTCCTTTCACCTGGAGGAATACTTGAATACAAGCGAGCCTTTGAAATCAAGTACATGGAGCCTTGTATTGATTGTAAATTTGACAGAATTCTTCAAAAAATGGCCAATATTTTGTAGCAAAATGTTTTAACAATCAGGTTTTGTCACAAAATAGAGAAAATATTTCAACGTCAATAAAATTATATGATAATAACCAAAATTTTAAAACACAAATAATATAAATTTTACAACAACATCGATCGGCATGGTATTTGGTGTATATCTATAGCAACCTAGCTATATTTGTTCATAAGATTAGAGAATATAAATCCTACCATTGGTCCCCGTTATCAATTAAGAATATTAATTTCCCTGTTATGGCAGTTCAAGAAAAAAAAAGTTGTAGTTGCCTGCCATAATGCATGCATGCTTGCTTCTATGTACTATCGAAGGCATTGCCGGGATATGGTTCAAGGGCTAGCTCAACCACAGGTCTTAACTCATCCCAATTTCCATTAGTAAAGCCATCGACGTCGACGCCATTGGGATGGTTCCAAAAGCTTGGGTAATTAGTTGCTGCAAATGGAGTTTGTTTCGCTATAGAATTGGCGGATGACCATGGATTGTCTCCCAAAAGGAAGTAGTTTCTTGCATCAACTTGGTCCACGAAAATATTTGGTTTGCTGTTGTTTTGTTGGAGGACTGAGTCACAAAAACTCATGCATTGCTCAGCACTGTTTCCAGAGTCATCTTCGAGGCTGCATGTGTTGGAATTGGAGTCAGCTCCATTTTGTTTGATTGTGGGATCCAATTTCCAAGCAGCAGCTGCTGTGTACTTCTTGTTTGATGGGGCTCGTTTGAAAATTCGACAAAGGGTCCAAACTTCCTGCACGCATTAAGAATCAGACAATATCAGAATTGTTTTGAACAGTCTGCAATACAAGAAACCGAAGACTGAAGAAGATATCAACGATGTCAATGATAGGCCCACACACAGACATAACGTTTGAACATCCATCAAGCACAAACAAACAGCATATCCCATTTCATATTCACTTAACTCTTCAAATTAGCAACTAAAACCCAGAAAACAAAGCAAAAAATTCACTTGCTTACAGCTTCTTGGGCATCGTCCTTGGCATTGGAGAAGTGTTTCTCATTTGGCGGATGGCGAAACTCATGCATCATCCACTCGGTTTTGGTACCCTTACCGGCTCTACCTCGATAGTAGACAAGGGATTTCTTGAGGCCAATGCAGCTGGGTTCTTTCACAGAATAGATGGACTTGTCGATGCCGGTGGCCTTCCAAAACCCTGATCCTGTCACCCTGTTTGGCCTTATGCTGTTTCTATACTTTCTCCCTCTCATGCAAAAGAAATACCACTCTTTATCTCCCGCACTATTAAATTCTTCAAAAAAAAAAAAAAAAAACACATCCATTTCAATTAAATTAATACAATATTACTCAACTCATATACATTAATATATATGTATATATACATTAATTTCTTAGTTTTAGTTATCAGAATTTAAATTCTGAAAATATCAAATATAAAAATATATTTTTTTTATTTTGCAAAATTTCTAATTGAATAATAAACAAGCACTCAAATTCTAGCTATATTTTTGTGTATTGTACACTCAATTAAGCCAACAAATTTTAATGTGTTTAATTTGACAATTTCAAATTAAATTTGATTTTTTTTAATAATTATTATCTTTTGGTAGACTATATGGTTAAGATTAAGATTCGACTTTATTTGACCGTCTTGTTGATTAATCAAAATGTCATCCTAATTTAATCTAATTTTGAAAAAAAAAAATCAATAGTTGACCATATGACAAATATTGCAAAATATCAAATTTCTTATAAAAGGAAATATTATATTTACATTTTAATATCATGTTTCATCTTTCACATATTATATTTACATTTTTCATAGTTTCTTGACAGGCTTGGTGAGCATTTCTTTCTTTGAAAAATGTGTAAGCAGTAGTTCCATATTTTATTTTTGTTTGATAGTTAACAGTAGTTCCATTTTGAGATATGAATAGAGTGTGTAAAGAATATATGATAAGACGATCGCCTTTTTGTTTTAATTTTTATTTCGGCAGTGGAACCAATGTCCAAAAGAAAAGGCGATCCTAATTATTTAGTTGTCTTGTCAAACTACTTTAAATACAAATTAATACCAAGTTTAGGAATATTATAAAAAGTCATAAAGATGAAATCAAAATTAACAATTGTTTATTTTTTTTTTTAGAAAAAATTTAAGAGCACTCTAGTAAACTCTTAGAATTTTGAACAAAAATAACTTCAAAAAAAAATATATATAGAACAAATATTTTTCAATCAAGATTATAACAACCTGTGTTAGAAAGAAAAAGAAATGGAATTAATTAGCAGTAGAGATATATATACTAACTTGGAAGATCCCATGGATCATATTTGTAGATATCAATCTGTTTGATGATTTCAATACTGATAGGTTTCTTCTCAACCTTTCGCCGCAGATAAAACCCAACAAGTTCTTCGTCTGTTGGGTGAAATCGAAACCCTGGAAGCATAACTTCACTGTCCTTCGTCTCCTTCTCATCATCAGTATAACTGCTCATCGTTCTTGCTGCCTCCATGAATATCTCTCTCTCTCTCTGTTTGTCACTGATGATATATATTTTTTCTCCTTTAACCCAAGTCTCTCATTGATATATAATGGATGGATAGCTGAATGTTTGGGGTCAAGACAAGACTTTCGATCAAGACATCTTTGCAAAGTCTACCTGTGGAAAAACGAAGTCTTCCGTCTGCTAATATTTTCTTGCCTCAAATTCATATATTAACACAATTCATTAATATAGTCACATAATATTCAACAAATTTTAATTTTAATTTTTAATATCTACAATTAGATTAAGCGATATTAAATATAATATGATGATACGATATGAATATGATATAAAAATAAAATAAAAAAAATAATACTATTTAAAATTTTAATAATAATTATATATAAATTTAACAAATAAAAAAAATATATTTCATATTTTCATATCGATATAAATTGTGATATATAATTTTTATATAAAACATAATATAAATACATAAATTTTAATATTTTATAAAATACAAATACACAAATCATGAAATTTGCTTGCAATATATTTTTTTTATCTAGATTACGAATATTTTTCTTTTATCAAAATTCAAGTTATGACTTTTTTGTATAAAAAAAAATTTAAAATAAAATACATAAGACTAGAAAATATGTAAGTATAATTTCCACGTATAAATAATTATAGTATACTCTATGACGTGGCAATGACAATTGACTATTACAATTCAAGTGATGACAATTACATTTATTGGTTGAAAATTTAAAAGCGAAGCCTCGAAAGGTAACAATCTTGGTGGAAAATATCAATTTAAATCGCACCATCAAAGAAAATCAGGTACAGTTGTACTATCGGTTAAAAAAAATGTACAATCATTCGTTTCAAAATTGAATATCACTCATTAAATAATAAAAAATTTTAGGAATGAAATATTGCATCCGTTTCCTTTCAATTTTTATCCTTCAAAAGTGCACAAGATTGACATTATATATATTATATATATTATTTTGAAAAATAAGTATTATATCTTAATAATAAGATTAACATTTATTTGAAATATTGGAAAGAATAATAATACAAAGTAAACTATATAAATTTCTTTTTTTGGGCATTTTTCAATTTCTAAAATTATATAATGCATCATAATTCACTAATAAATTATCAAAAATCGAATTTTGATTACAGTTAAAACTAACAATTTAGTATTTTACTAATAGGTTATGTGAAAAAAAAAATCATTTGCTATCAACTTGGAAATGAAGTTTTTCTTTTTTTTTTTAATGATTTCAAGACAATAGGTCATGGTATTTTTTTTTTCACAATTTAAATAGCATTAATAATGAAATTGAATTTTAATTTTTGGTTTTAAGGTGACAGAACCCTACATTAAAAGAGAGGAGGGGGGAGACTAGAGTTGAATCCCAATTTTATATCTTCTTAAGGTTTTTTGGATCATTAAATCAAGAAGCTGAAGATTAAAATCGAAATTTAATTTTTATTTTTAAAAAATAATATTTAATATATTTAAAATTCAAATTTAAGCACATTTGATCCATTCCTTTTCTTAAATTATGAGAGTTTTTGTAAAAAAAAAAAAATTCTTTAGTGTAAGTAATAAAATAAAAGTTTTCAAGTTGTATGAATTTATAATTGATGTTTTACCTTGAGGTCAAGACTCAAGGGGCAATGCTAGATTGCCTAAAAGAAGAGTGTCGGTATCATATATTTATAAAATTAAAAAAAAATCTATTTATTCTCAAAATTGAAGATTTTGATAATCATCTACTCATTTTTTCCGTGGGATCAGATCATCATACCATGGGCGGCATTCATTGAAAAGGCTTGGTTTGTGGTTTGATGTTTCTCTTTATTAGTAAATGGAATTAACTTTTCTTGTTTGTCGTCAAACATATACAAAATCCAACCAAACAAAACATGAATTTGATCCCTAATTATATTAAGAGGTATTTGGTTCATGAATTTTTAAATTTAATGTGTAATAATATTAAGTAATTGTATTTTAAATTTTATATGTAATAATATTAAATAAAAATATTTTATGTTTTATTTTTTTATATTTTCAATAAAGATTGGGTTTTTGTCTTATAAGTATTATTTTTTCAACAAAAACTATATTTCTTTATCTTAGAAATATTATTTTTGTTGAATTATTAATTTTTTCATATTTTTAATAAAAGCTGCAATTTTATTTTAGAAACACCAATTTTTTTAAACAAGAATTGCATTTTTTATTTTAAAAATGTCGATTTTGTTGAAGTCTGAATTTTTTTTTTCATATTTTTAACAAAAATTGTAATTTTATCTTAAAAACATAGTATTTTCAATAATGATTGCATTTTTTTTTTAGAAATGTCATTTTTTCAACAAAGACTATATTTTTTTTATCTTAAAAATGTTGTTTTGTTAAATTTTGAAATTTGTTTTTCATATTTATAACAAAAACATTATTTTTTTTTGTTTTAGAAAGTTATTTTTGTTGAATTACGAAAAATAAAAAATTTTCATCTTTTCAATAGAAATCATGTCTCTAATTATAACTTTTATGAAAATTTCAATAGTATTGTGTTAAAAACGTAATTTTTGTTTAAAATATATTAAGAAAAATTTATTTTCATAATAATTTATAAAAAAAAATTACTACATTTTTAAGATAAATAACATTATTTATATTTGAAAATGTAATTAAGTTAGGACAAATGAAAAAAAAAAATTTTTTCCTTCAAAATCATAAAAATCCTCGTATGGAGGAGAGTTTTTGAGTCATTTACTTTTTCACTTCTAAACACCGTTAAAAAAAAAAAATCAAGAATCAAATTCTCATAAATCAAATACAAAATCAAATTACAAAAAATAAGATTTTAAATAGAAAAATTACTTTTCCGAACCAAACACCTACGTCATGGTGATAATGTTATGCCCTTTGCAAAATTTTTTTTATTTATTTCTGATTTATCTCTTTTAAAAAGTTAATTTATTTGATTTGTTGTAACTACAAGACAGCTGAATAGTCATCCATAACAGGTCATGAATAGTCATCCATAACAGGTCATGACTTTAGAGCTATGTGGGTTGGAAATTTGATTGATCAGAGAAAGCGTTAGGATCATGCCCAACATAAAACCAAATATGAGGTCTAAATGCTTTCTTAACAAACTCTGGTCGGTATAGTAAGTTTCAAAGAAATGATACCAACTCATAATTTATAATCACATGTTGGTAATAAAGAATATGTTTAATTAATTAATATCGTAATATCTTGTACTATTTGAAATTGAAAGTAGATCTAATAATTTAAAATACGATATGAAAATAAAATAAAAAAATGATATGATTTAAAATTTTAACAATAATTATATATAAATTTAATAAAATTAAAAAATATATTTTATATTTTTATGTTAATACAAATTGAATCATATGATTTTTATGTAAAATTCAATATGAATACATAAATTTTAATATTTTATATTATATGAATACATTAATCGTTAGATAAAAATGATATGATAATTTAATGTTTGCTTCTAACAATTAGATGACAAAAAATAATTTTATATATGTTAATAATAAAATAGTAATTTTTTATAATTGAGTTGTCAAAATAAAAAAAAAATTTCTAAACTTGAGTGACTAAATGTATAATTTATCTTAAAAAATTCATATCCGTAGAGATCATTTGAATCTTACATTTGATTAAACGATCCATAACTAATAGATCAAATTTTGATAGTTGAAATATAATTATTATATATATTAAAGAGAGGATTTCAATTTAGGAGATCATGTGGAAAGCTTATGATTCCTTGCAATTAAGCTATGTTGACAAACAGATGATAACGAAAAATGGAAAAATCGAGACGCCGAGATTACATGTGATTCGAATTGATCCAAATTTTCTTCATTGAAAGTTTAAAATTGCTGTCCAATTGTACAACTGTACGGTCACAAAATAAAAAGCGTTGTACGACGATGATCATTTCTAATTTGAGATTGAAAATTTTCGTAACTGTAAACATGAAATTTTAAGTCAACCCTTATGGATTCCTTCTGATTTTAAGTTCACATTGACAGAAATGAGAAGCCACAAATTTTTTTTTAAAATTGTAATTCTAAGATAAAGAAAAAGGTTATAACGAGAAATTTTAAATTATAAATATATTAAACAGTAGTATTTTGAAAGTGATCGTAGAATTTTTAATTTGTTGATTGTGATTTTAACCTAAAATGAGCAGATTAATTTGAAAAGGTAGGCAGGTTTGTTCCGATAATCTGAGACAGTAGGTGAGAATGAATGAGAAAAATACATGAATAATATTTCACGAGCCTAACAGTTTGATGTCCTATTTTCCTTTTGAGAAGGCAACCATGATTTAATTATTCTTAAAAACATTTCAATAATAAATATTTGGATGTGATTTCAACTTTTTTCCACAAAACATTTCTCCTCAATTAGCATCTTTTGCATACGTTTTCATTCTAGAAGACTTACGCCTTTAATTTACATGACAAAATTATGAATATATCTTTCGTATTTAGGATATCTTAAATTATGTTTTTTTTTTTTTTTTACATTTAAAACTCTTTTTTATATATATTTTAAAATTATTTTTACGATTTTTTATTTTTAATATTAAAAATCATAAGACTTTAATTTTATAAAAAAATTTTAATTTTAATGTTAAATACATTAAATCAATTTTTTTTTTTTAAATTTCATGAAAATCAATACAGTCCTAACCTGTGTAACTTTTGATTGATGAGGGTAATTAATGATTTTAATTATTTATTTTTTAATTTCATCGGTCAACCATAGAAAAAAATAAGTTTCAATGTTGTCCCTTAAGAACAAAGCTGCTACGTGGTCCAAAGACAGAGTGGAATTAATGGTTTAGAATGAGAAAAAAATGCCATGCCAAAGACCAAGAATATCGACAAACTTGCCCTTACGGGTCAACAGAGCAAGGAAAAGGAATATTGGCAGTTATATTATTATTTAATTATACATATTAAAAAAAAAAAAAAACCTTGTTAAAAAATTCCAAGTCCAAGTCCATCA